GGTGTACATTTGCCCTGTTGTTTCACGCGTGGGCCCCCCGAGGGGGAAATTGGGCGTGAGTTGCGGTTCTCAACCTGGGGGTCGAGACCCTTTCACAGGGGTCGCCCTAAGACCATCAGAAAACACATATATAATTACATATTGTGTTTGTGATTAATCACTATGCTTTAATTATGTTCAACTTGTAACAATGAAATTGGGGGTCACCACAACATGAGGAACTGTATTAAAGGGTCGCGGCATTAGGAAGGTTGAGAACCACTTCCTAAACTTGAGGAAGAAAATAATTAAAGATGTGGACGTGAAGCCAAGAGCCCAAGGCAGTCGGAGCAGCCCAAGGTCACTTAACTCGCCCTTTCCCCAGCGCCCTCCCTTGGGTGACTGACTTGTTCTGGCAGCCCGTCTCCCAGCCGATTGCCGGAGTGGGACCAGCCGTGGGGCCAAAGACTTGACGTTTATTGGGTTTTAATGACTCGGTTAATAAAGGTCTTGCCTAAAAGTAATAGAAAACTAAGTGTGGAAACGGGATGGGAAAGACTGGCTTGGGGTTAATTTCCAGCGGCTCCTTGGTGTTGTCCTTAGATCTGTGTTTAATCCTTAAAAGCAATTAAGAAGGACCCTTCCTTGTAAGCGGTGGTCCGATGCCACATTCAAGCTACACGTGTAAAATGCGAAAACCCCTCGGTAACAAAAGGTAGCATGCAGGCACCAGCCTTAAAATGTTAGATGATATCGGCATAACAATATAATATGTTCTTAATAAACTAGGGGTCACAGTGTAATTGTAGATGTATAATGGTAGCACTTGGTGATACCATGTCCATAGGGATCTCCAATATCTTTGAGACAATGAAATAACTTGAGTATCAGGTAAAATCTGATTGAAAATTAGTTTTGAAGTTAAAAGGGACCTTTAAAAACCCCCACTTATTAATCTTGTCCTTTTATTTTTTAATATATTTTTATTGACTTCAGAGAAGAAGGGAGAAGGAGAGAGAGATAGAAACATCAGTGATAAGAGAGAATCATGGATCGGCGGCCTCCTGCAGGCCCCACCCTGGGGATCCAGCCCAAAACCCAGGCCTGTGCCCTTGACTGGAATTGAATCCGGGACCCTTCAGTCTGTAGGCCAATGCTCTATCCACTGAGCCAAACCGGCCAGGGCATCTTGTCCTTTTAAATTGTTAATAACAGCGAGTGGTTTAGTAAGTATTTATCCAAAATGGTGTTTATTAGACTGTGAAAGAATTTCCTAAGGCAAATGGTGTTTGAATTATTTAAGATTTAAATTGATACAAGTACTAGTATTTAAGAATATGTAGAAAGGAATACATTTAGTTATTCGCCAAGCATAGATTACTGAAATATTTTCCACCTCAAAGTGTATAATTCACATGTGTGACACATTTCTGACATAGTTTTACAAAGCCTTCCTGATCTACCTCCTGTTGGCTTTTCCAGCCTTCTCTCTCTCTCAGTCCTCTTAGCTGCAGCTTTACAACTCTGCCTCCTCTGAGCCTCAAGCCCACCCCCTCCAGGCTCAGGCCCCTGCCTGGAACTCCTCGCCCTCTGCCTGTCCTTCTGCTGGTATTACCTCCTGCGGTAGGCTGCCCCGCCCCCCTTAGATCCCAGGTGGCTTCACTGGTTCTTGGGGGGCGTGTGCCCAGTTTTCCTGGGACGGCCCCACCACCCTCCACCGTCAGTGCCCCCAGCCCCCAGAACAGTGTCTGGAACACGAGGTGCTGTGAGCGCTGCGCCTAAAGACAGTGAGCACTGCAGAACTGGAAATGTACACATTGAGCCCTGACATAACGCGGAAGAAATAAAGTCCCCGTTTTTCAACTAAGAAATAAATACATAAGAAATAAAGTCCCTTCCATTCATTTCTCCTCTAGACAGAGAACCGACACAGCCCGCCATCCGTTTGACAGGAGACAAAAATTTGAGTCTGTGTGTTCGTTTTCTCTCAATAGCTCCGTGAAATGCAGAGGCCGGCCCACGGCAGGACACTGGGTCAAATCAACTGCAGCAGCTTTAACTCCCAACTGTAACCTTCCTCCTCGGCAAATGAGTTTAAAAGCAAGTTTTAAAAATCTTGTTGGAAACTAACGACCTGAAGAAAATGCCAGCATTTCTCCCAGGGAACGGGTTTGGTCTAAGTACTTCCGCTTCTGAAACTGTAGCTCAGTGGTCGAGCGTGGACCTAGGAACCAGGAGGTCCCGGTTCGATTCCCGGTCAGGGCACAGGCCCTGGTTGCAGCTGGATCCCCAGGGTGGGGCGTGCAGGAGGCAGCCGACCCATGATTCTCTCTCATCATGGATGTTTCTATCTCTCTCTCTCCCTTCCTCTCTGAAATCAATAAAAATATATATGTTTTTAAAACTGCACAGAAAAGCGGTTTTTGAGGGTCAAAGCTACAAAGGTTCAAGATTTTAAGATTGTTGAAGTCTCTACAGAAAACACTGGTCTTGTTTCAGGAACGAAAGGAACAATAAAACCAGCCCAGAGAGAAGGCTGGGCGCTGGGCGCTAGAGACGCTGAAAAGCAGCTACAGCTCCTGTGAGACCCGATAGCTCCGGGGCGCACGCCGCTCTCCGGAGAACGTGGGAGACATGAGAGGTGGTATTTTCTGCATGTCCCGCCTTGTAGAACCTCTGGCCGGTAATCAAATACGCTTGGACAAAGCTCAACTTTTTTTCTCCTCTAATGAATGCAAGACCCAGCCTCGTTGCACGCTCAACGGCTGACATTTTAGGAGCAGGTTGACTATTTACAATGAATGACCCAAACTAACCAAAATAATGACGCCAATGACAGTAGCAGTTGCAGTGCCAGGATTTGCTCGGGGTTCATTCCAGGAGGGACCCACTGGGGGCGCTGCATCCACCTGTCCCCACTACCGAGCTCCCCAGCCCCGGCTCCCGGCGGACCCCTGGCTCCCAGCGAACCCCCCCGCCAGGTGTACCCCTTCTCTCTCCCAAAGAGAAAAGCGCGAGCGGGGGGGCCGTACTTTTAGGTCGAAAACGTTAAAGGCCTGCGGGGAGCCCCCCACCCCCCGCCTCCCCGCTCCCCGCCACCGGGCCCTTACCCGGGGGCTCCATGGACAGCTGCTCCCGGATCCTCGGGCCGAGCCCGGCGCCTCCCCTCCTAACGCCTCTGCTCCGCGGCCGGCGTCGGCCGGTTGCCCTGACGACCGGGGGCGGGCCGGGAGGACGGCGAGAGGGAGGGTCCTAAACGCCGCGCGGAGCGAGACCGGATCGTCGCTCCACTTCGGAGCCGGGTGGCGGGGGGTCCGCCGGCGGGAGAGCCGCCTGAAGCCCAATCGGGGTTCCGCCGGACCGGGGGCCC